CTGGACTTATGTTTTGGGTCATTATCTTGCTGTACGATGAACCCCTGACCAACTAGGTGCATAACAGAGGCCACTGCAGAATGCTATGGTAGCCATTTTGGTTCAGGATGTCTCTCACTCTGTAAAAGCCACCTGTATCCAACAAAAAGGCCCAAACCATCATTCTTCCTTCTTAATGTTTGACATTTCATGCCACAGAGTAAGGTACCAACCTTTTGCCTACTCAACAGCATACAAAAATCCTGCATGAAGAACCAAAGATTTCAAATTTTGATTCATCAGTCCATAACACCTTCGGCAGTCCATTGGTGGCATTTCATGGCCCAGGCAAACCTCTTTCTTATTTTTATGTCTTACTAATGGTTTTTATGCCACAGTGTACTGTTCCTTCTGAGTTCTTGTATTGATGTGTTTTTGTATTGATATAGACTAACTAACCATGACAGAGACACATAACCATTAACTTCTTTATGAATTAGAAAAAAGAGATGTTAAATCTTGTCATATTATAATTTTCTTTTTTCAAATGCATTAGATTAGTGCTATCACTATAGGGGACAATGCTGCCGCCTAATTTGGTCTTCAGCTGCACACGGAAAGAGGATGATACTTTACCTTCTTTTACTTTAAATGCAAATCTCACTTCAGTTCTATTCACTGACGCTGTGTGGACATTTTTAGATTAAGTAGAAACTCTAATATGATTTCATTCACAGCAAAAAAGTGTCCAGTATGTATTTCATCTACTGGCAAGCACAAGCCCCTTAATTAAAATTATATTTTTAATGATACAATATAATTATTTTTGTTATCCACAAATTTTCACATGTACATTTGACAAATTAATTATTGATTATTTTCTGAATTCTCAGACTGGTCCAGTGTGCAGGCCAAAATAAGGGTATAAAACATGAATTCAGTTTAATGACTTTGACTTTTAGTTTTAAACAAGTTTTTGACAGATTTAAATACAATATTTGTGCTTTCTTGTTTTTAATGACAGCTGGTCTAATAAATGTGTTAAGCACTGCAACAATATGACATGTATTCATTTTAACATCAAAACTATTTACACAATTTCTTTTGCACAATTCGGAGTTTTGATCAATTAATCTTGGAACTCTCCTGTGAGTAAAGTTGGCATACAAACATGAAATCACTTAAAATAGAAGAAAAAGCCCACTGAGCCTGGACACAAACCCAAAGCTACACGAGAGTATCTTAAAAACAGGTATACGAGATGAATAAACACCTTGAGAGGAAAAAAATGAAACAAAGTTTGACTTACCAAATCTGCTTATGAACTAAACAATAGTATTAAAGCACTCCGAGATCTCCCGAGTGACGACGAAGTTTTTCTTCCTTTCAGTGTGGAAACGTTCACGTGAACTTTTTTTGTTTTTTGCTTTGTTTTGCTGTAGTCTGTAATCGGGTGTCATTACACTAACTACAGTTCTAGTGATGTTGTGATAAAGCCCCTTGAATATGTCGAATCTTTCCAGCCAATTGCTTCGCCAAAACGCAGATCACACGAAGCCCCGTTCAACAGCTCATTTGGAAATACTGACATCTGCTGGTCATTCACTGTACAGCAGCCCTGCTGTGATATATCAGTGAGTATTATGTATCATTATGATGTCACTCTCAAAGATCACAGAGCAGATCACACAGCATTTGTAGAATCAAGAGATCTGGTACAAAGACGTGCATGTGGTGTCTTATTGCGCCCCAAAATGATATGTAGCAGGATCTTTAGCGGTTTTTGTACAGCAGATCAGTTAATTTGTGTGTGCATACCACCCTACATTTACCTTTCATTCAAGGAAGACCTCAACTGCAACATATGACTCAGCTAAAATGCAGCTCCAGGTTTACAGATCAGCTGTATTTCTGCTACGTACACATGGACTTGACACTTCATTGTATATACATTTGCCTCCTGTTCCTTTTATTGTTTTAGGTTAGTCCTTTAAAAGCTAATTTAAAAAAATAAAATAAAATCAATGTTTTGATTCAGTGTGTCAGCCCATGTGGTACTTTAAATTACACAAATAAATGTTTAGAGTTCTGCAGTCTAGTAGTTATTGACACAAGCAAGATTTAAAAAGCATTACAATGTGATCTTGACCCTAATTCAGAAAGCATTTGGGGGTTTTTTTCAGTTTTTGCAAAGAATCATTTTCCACGACTTGTACAGCGGGTGAAAAACAAATAAAAATAAACGAATTAAACCTCCCAAGTGTTTTTTTTTTTAAATTATTTTTATTTGTATTATTATTTTTCATTTTCTAAAGATTAATTGAAGTTTCACAATGTGGGTCATCCTTCTCTAAATAAATGTGAATTCCAGCTGATGGGACACACAAGGGATAAGTAGACTGCTTTTACACTTGTTAAAGTTTCCCAATGATCAAAACAAAGAGTTAAGATCTCAAACTATTAGATAAAATGCAGACTGCACAGCAGAAAATCCACACATTTAAGAACTAGACCTTAAAATGAACTTATGATGTTGAGTTCAGTTCTCATCAAAGAGTCATCTTCTTTCCATTGCTTACTTAAGGTGGTCACCACAGTGGATCATGTGCCTGCGTCTTTCCCATCCCTGGCTGCCTCCTGTGTCAAACAACTGTCTTTCATGTCCTTCACTATATCCATGAATCCTCTCTGTTATATTTCTGTTTTCCTCCACACCTGACAGCCTTATATTCGGCATTCTTTGTCCAGTATATCAATTTTCCCTCCTCTGCACATGTCCAGAGCATCTCAGGCTTGCTTCTCCAACTTTGTCTTCAAACCACTGAGCTGTCTCTCTGATGTACTCATTTCTAATCCCATTCATCCTGGTCGCTCCCAGTGAAAATCATCTTCAACTCTGCCGCTCATCTTTTTGTTAGTATGACACTCTCCAAATCAGACATCCAACCAGCAAATTAAATTAAAATAATAAAATAACAAATGTCATTTGGGTTTTACAGCATGTACAGCCATGATCATCTGTCCTTTAACCTTCAAATGTAATTACCTCTTTTCAAACCTCCACTATAGCATATAAGACATGAATATAGCCATTATCTGATATATAATATAGGGTACTTTAAGTAAATTGAGTCTTCTTAAATATTTGCATACTTTACTTATGTTATAACCCAATCAGTTTTTTAAAAAAACACAAAGCTACAAATTTCAGAAGTCTAATATAAAAGAAAAAAAGATCAGACTAAAAGTATGTATTCATTATTTTAGAGTCCTCAATCTCAATGAGTCACTGAATGTTTCATGTTTTTCATTTTAGGCCATCTTCAGCTTCATTTTTCATTACTGCTGCATTTTCCATTTTTGCCTGTAATTTAAATAAAGACAGAATTAGTGCATTAGTATTAAGGAGAGAAGTGCAGAGTGCCTAATGCAAACTTCAGTTTTGAGCAGGGAAATGGTCTGTTATTAGCATCTGTCGCTGATAACAGATATTTTAATGTTATACTAGATATTTTTTAAGCTTGAATAGCTAACAAATGTTATAAACAAGGGCTCGATCCCAGCATCCCCATTATTATTATCAGACACTTGATAATTTATAAGTGTCTGTTTGTCAAAGGTTTACTTCATAATTAACAAGAAAATGACCAGTATATTCTTCAGATGATAGATTAGAACAAGCATCAGGTGCAGCCCTTGTTTGTCGTAAATCAGCTCAGAAATCAGCTCTGACAATATTTACAATTTTTATCTGCTCTTGATCTGCTTGTGTTTAACTTCTGATGCTCATTCATATTAAAACACTAAAATCTTTTAACCTGCAAGTCCCACCTGTGTTAGTTTGTGATGATATGAAAGCAGGTGAGTACTGCTGGTCATCACCCCTGATAAAAAAAATAACCAGTCATATACATTTTACGTTAGATATCAGAGAAATTACCTGAGAGCCACTTATGAAAGTGCTTCTGGCAGGGCCGTGCAGAGACGTTTAAAGGGGCGGACATTTTGTTATCTTTGCATAACAAAATGCAAAGATATGGTTCCAAGCGCTGTCACCAATCTTTGCATTTTGTTATTATCTCATGACACTTGTTTAATCAGCTACCATCTCTCCTATGGACTTTTTAATGTCTACATTCTCAGATCAACACAGCCCTGCCCTCCAGCACTATCAGCAGCAGGAGCAGCAGCAACCCCTCAACAGCAACGTTGTACCCATCAGGTAAAACATAGGCTACGTTTGCTTTGCCTTGTTGCCCATATTAGATTCTTGATGAACGTGTGTTGTTGTTATTCAGCCTAGTCCAATGTGCCCCTTTTTAACTTTGAGCACCCGCCCCTTTAAACGTCTCTGCACGGCCCTGCTGTGATTAATAGTTAAATATTATTGTTGAGGGGCACAGACAGGACTCCGCACGCCCACACACATAAAAAAAAAAATATCAACAGTTGCCTCAACAAAAGGGCACTTTAGGCACCCATCAGGAAAGGGGCGGGTGCTCAAGCCCCTCTAGCCCCCCCCCCCTTTGCACATGCCTGGCTTCTGGGCAGTCTCAATGACTTCTTCATCAATGTTCTTATAGTAAACCCTTATGAACTGCTCAGAGGAGCACTTTGGGAGAAGCATAGAAACCTGACAAGAATGATGAGAAATAAAGTTTAAAATAACAATGTCCTAAAGGTTGTCTTAAAAATATACACACAAACAGCAAAAAACTTATAGAAATATACCAAGATCAAAACTTTTTTAATTCATTGTTTTGGTTCTGACCTCATCTTCACGGAGTTTGAATGGTTTGCCAGGTTGATTCTTTTTGTAGAAAAATACATTTTCAATGATTTCTTTTTCTTTTATCCCATAATCCATGGCAAAGTGCTAAAAGAAAGTTATAAAGAAGCCTGTTTCATACAATAACATGGTTTCACAGCAGAGGTAAATATCTTACAAATCGAATGATGATCAAAAACTCACCACAATTCCAAAGTCGTTGGCTGTAACTGTGACATTTTGATTGTCCCCAGGTGGGCATGCTCTGGCCAATTCCTTTTTTCAAGTATCAATCTCTTGCTAATGGTGGTAGAAAAAAGAATGAGAAGTAAGAGGGACAAGAGATTTGAAATGTAGCCCATCTTGTCCACACACAGTAAGAGCATGTCCACATCACAGGCAAAATGTACTTTTAGTTCATGTCAGTATAAACGTTCGTTCCTTATGAAGATCTTGTGCAATAATCTTCTCACACTTATTGAAATGGATTTATCTGCCTCAATAATGTATTTAAAATTAGCTCTGCTTATTTATTTAGTTTTTTGGGGTTTTTTTGTTTTGTTTTGTTTTAAACATTCTGAAAATAGCCAGCTATTTATGTCAAAACATTGCAGCTTGGCAGTGTTGATGAATCATTCTGTGTAAAAGGGAAATTCACAGAAATAATGAAATGTGTTCCAAAAAAAGTGGAACTTAAAATGTATAAACTACAGGCAAACACATGGTTTTGTCATGTGTTCATGACGGATGACAAAACCATTCACAAAACCTTAAAGGTGTGATGTGAAAGGTATGATGTTGAGTGTGAAAGTTGTGCTGTTTGTAATAAATGGTTTTGATGGTTTCATTTCAAATTATTTAAACTGCAGTTAACGCTTCTATTTTCTAATGATTAACAAAATTCTAATAACAATATCCAGTTTTTTACCCTTAAACAATTAAAAATGTGCATTAATATTGCCACAGTCAGAAAGTGTAAAGAAGCTCAGAAACAAGAGATTACTGTACACCATGGTGGGTTTTTCAGACTGCATTTTGCCCAAACACTTGTAGATTTGTCGAGAGACGATGTTTGATAGAAGCTTCTTGGCCTCACCCATCTCTTTGGAGGATGAGTTGATGGCTGTAATAATATTCTCTGCAGAACAAACAGAATCCAAGATTTGCCAGTTAAAACATTTAATAAGTATTTAAGAAAAGTGATTAATAATATAAAGAGAGGCACAGCAAAACTTACACAAATGAAAGCAACCCACTTAATGTAAAATCCGATTTCCCCTATTTTCTATTATCATAAGCAAAGCCTGTAAAGTTAGTTCAGACTGAAACATAATCTGAAAAGTCAATACTCAAAATAATAGAACTGTATGTAGAACTGATGTTTAACCAGTCACACGTATGGCACATGTTTTGGCACAAGGCAATCTGTTGCAGAAACCAGTAGAAAAAAGGTTATGTGATGGGATTGGAGGAATTATTAAACACCTTGCAGACAGAGATAGTTTAAAACAACTATCAATGGTCACATCCTGACTTAAATCACTCAGTTCTGTGTTTCAGCCATCAATGTTGTTTCCAACATGGTAATCTGGATCCAAGACAGGTTTTTTCAAGTCAGTCAAACCAAACAGAAAACAATGACTGGTGAAGAAAATTATAACCATACTGACAATACCATTAGTGCTACAGGTTGACACTGCTTAGTATGTTGTCAACATCTATGACAACCTTAGATATTAAGGTTGTCATAGATGTTAAAAACAAAAATATTCACCTGTGCAATCATTTTCAAACCACCCCAGAAAAGACAAGTATTGAATACTAAGATCATAGATCATGACTGTTGTTCAGAATTAGATGATGGAAACAAACTGATAGAACATAAATTTAACACAGAGAAGACTACAACCAAAAAAGACTTTTGATTTAAGTGTTAAAAATATATTTGATATTAGAAAAATTATTTTGACACAGAAGCAGCTGCAGCTAAAAGACGAGCCTGCTGTTGAAACGGTGATTAACCTAAAAGAGCTTATTGATGTTATACATGGAAAAAATGTTTAAAAACAAAAAAACAAACAACCAAAGTTGTTGGCACATTAAAACTAAAAGAGGCCCTTTGGTGGCCCTGATCAGGTTTGCCAGAGGTGGCCCAGAAATGGCCAGTTGCAGACACACTGGTGGTCCTGTGCCCTCCCAGATGTCAGCCTAATGTGTACCTTAATCAAGCCATGTAATAACAACATGTGCCGGAACATAATAGTGCAAAAGCAACATGACAAAACTCTGTTCAGACAGTGAATGGACTGATTCATATATAGCGCTTTCCTACTCTCCCAGACTACTCAATGTGCTTTATACAACATGACACATTCACCCACTTTCTCTAAACTGAGTGCTTCCTAACTACAATCATACGCATTGACACTCTTGCAGACTGGAGGTGCCAGGGCTTGAACCACTAACCTTCCAATCAGTAGGTGACCTGCTCTACCTCCTGAGCTACAGCCTCCCACTGGAAAAAATGAGTAAACCATCACTAGGTTTTGGATAGTGTACACTCACAAACATGTCAAATCTGCATTTGAGAGGTTGGCCACGCATGGCCCACTGTATATAATTTTCTGTTTGTTATTTATTATATGTTATTCCTGTCTGACTATTTATATTTTATTTCTGCACAGTTGGTGTGGAGCACCCACAATTTTGTTGTACATGTAAAATGACACTAAAGAGCTATTCTATTCTATTCTATGGCAATATTCATTATTATTCTGTTGTTATCATGAATCATTTTCATTACCCAAACACATTTTTATTCAGGGTGATGGTACTCACAACAAGCTAACTCAGAGCTTATAGTTAAACTCAGAGTTTATTAAAATAGCTTTCTACAGATGGTCCTGTTTCCTCGTGTTACTGTTTGGCTTTTCCTTATCATGCTTATCTCCACAGCATTTTTCTTTTAACAACCTATAGGTTTATTAGAGCTATTTGTTCCCTTTCGTCCTGTATTTGGATCCTGTTTTGCTAACATACGTATACAGAATTCCAGATGTTATTAAAAACACATATTTTAAACATGGCACAGACAAGTGTCTTAATGTTCTTCAATCTTGAGTGGTAGAACACTGACCTTTCATCTTTTTGTAGGCCTCCATGTTTTCTTTGGTGGGTGAGAGACTTGAGTCATTGAACAGGATGGAGCAATCTGTGCCCAACTCGTGTTCTAGCATCTGAATCATTACATCAGGCCTCTCGGAGGAGTTGAGTATTTTTTCAAATACACAATCTATGAGACAAATAAAAAATGTCAGGCCCTTGAGCTGCTTAATTATCGCAAAAATCGGTCAATATCAACACTTTTCTAGTCTTTATCAAAAAAGCAGCTTTAAACTTTTCACATTTTACACATTCGCACATTTTTGTAGTGCTTTAAAAAATACACTTACACTGCTCCACAATTAGAAAAGGCAACAGCAAAATATGACCATCTACTGGCAAAGTTTAAAACATGAGTTAAGACAATAATTGCTGACTGACCTGTGAGCTTGATGTAGGCTTCCATGTCTTCTATAGCTGTGGATAAACTGTATATTTTTTCTTCTGAGCCTTCAATCTGGATACATTCACCTGCTTGTAAGAGGGCATCTTTGATCCTAAAATAAACAACTTCAATATTTTACTTTGAGAACCTGTTTTTTATTATACAATATAATCAGAAATTACATATGCTATATTCAGGAGATCATGCTAAATGATCAAGTATATTGTAAGAGCAGATACTCACATAACCTCTATGATCCTGGTCGTTTTGTGCTGGTAGGCTGTTCTGTGGAGTAAGCTCCTTATTTGGAACATGCTATACAGATTGCTCACCTCCTATTTAAAGTATTCCTACAATTTAGTTGCAACTAAACATAAAATATTAGAAATAAAGCACTGAAATTTATGAAAACTAAAAAAAACAAAAAAACAAAAAAAACCCCAACATTGTTTTGGGGTTTTACATCTCTAAAGCAGATGCGGTTTTTCTCACCCACCCTACACACCCGGGCAAACATGAGGCAGCGGCGATGGTCAAAGCTACTCTGGATGCCCAGATAGTAGCTATCTCTGAGAGGACATAATGTGGAAATATGTTAAGAAATCAAAATAATACATTGTAACTTATCATATTAAAAACTGGTCTCTTCAACAGGATCCACCTGGCAATGTAGTCAAACTTGTCCACATCAATGCCATTTTTCTCATTTCCCACAATTTCATAGAAGAAGTACTTGTCCTTTGTTCGACCCATGAACTGTGAAAAAATAGACGAATAGCACAGACATCGAATCCTACAGCAATACTAAGAACTGAATTCACTGTTTTTACACAGAAACTGATATAAACCTGTTTTTGAGTTTCATCAGTGTTCAGATGTCCTCGGATCATCTCCTTGATGAACACCAGGTCATTTTCAATTTGACCATCCACATTCAGACCATATTCCTCCATTGATGAACGGAGACTAGTACTCAGTAAGTAATCAAACATCTTCACAGAAATCTCCTCGCGCTGAAAGATACAAAAATGAAAGATACAAAAAAAGTCTACTCATATTAACTGTTACATGCTGTCTGGAAATTACAGAGAAGAAGGGAAACAGTTTCTTCACATACTCTGTCATCATGAACTGTATTGTTTTAAATACTCAAAATACTTCGAAATATGATGGGGAAGTTCTTACAGACAATTTTCAAAGAAAGGATGCAACATAGGAAATATCTTATTCCACCATTAACCTTATCAACAGAGGCACTCCACCAGGTAGCTGTAGCTCAGGGGGTAGATTGGGTGAACTACCTATTGGAAGATCAGGGGCTTTACAGCTGGTTCCTGCAGTCTACATGCATTTAGGCATCAAAAAATGTGCTTGTATGTATTTGTGTATGAATGAGGCTTATAGTAGTGATTTGAGTATCGAAATCCTAGTAGAGGAAGATTAAGATTACAGGTTATTTTAAAAAGTTTAAATTTTAGAATGTAACTGTTAATGGCTCTCTGTTGTTTTCATGTCTGAATCTTACAATATGCAGTAATAAAATGATTAAGGGCTTACAGAAACATGAGGAATGTACACAGTAGCTTTTATTGTACACTATCAGTAACCTCATTAACACATGGACGGCTTAGGATCTAAATAATGTTGTATGTTCTTCTACACCAAGTCCTCAGAAGCTAGTGTAGGTCCTTCGGACTTTTAAAATCCTGTGTTCACAGCAACTTCTAACAGAGTTTGCCATTATATAAAAAAACATATTGATTCTTATTCAGCTGCTTCTCATAATCCGAGTCACTGTTTTCAGAGAAAGGTGCATATAAAAATCTGTCCTTAAGTATTTTAGAATTATTTTATTAGTTGTATTACTTTTATTGGCCCAGTGAGGAGTGATGATGCTTCATAACAAAACATTTTTGAGTGGTCAAAAACATGAGAAAAGCACTGTATAAATTCCATGCCTCTTCAAAGAATAATTGTTGTATGCCTCCTGAATATACAGCATTGGAGGAAAAATTAAACACTCAGTAAACGACTGATGGAGGCTCGTGCCATATAAAATCAGGTGCATGGACAATCTTTAAATTCTCTTTTTATTCATTGTCATAAACCAACAGCTGGCTCCAGCTCCATGTTTGATACACAGAAAATGAATTTGAGCATTTTCAGATAATTTTTAAATCTTTCCTGGTTTTCTAATTAATTAGAAAGTTTCCAAACCCATGTGAGTAAACAGTGCTAACCACTGACCCACAGTGGTACAAAATCAAGAGACCTTAACAACAAAATGCTCACATGTGTTTGAGTTTGGTGATGGATCTCAGACATCAGAAAAGTTTGCGTCTTACCTTCCTGCTACCGTCCAACAGATCTGCCCTTTTTTCCAGGATGAACATTTCCTCAAAGACAATGGAAAAGGGTCCTTGTCCTACATACAGATATAATATATTTGTTATCAGTGTTTGCATATATAGTTTCATATAAAAACAGTCTTCCGTTGATGTTTCTTTTTGTCACATTGGCCTTATAATACACCATTAGGTTGGTGTAAATTCACTTTTATACTAGTTGTTCATCAATTACCCAGATCATGGCAAAGTCCTGCAATCTGCACACACAGGATGTCTTCAGGCGTGATATTGAGTTTTGGCTGCTTTGTACTTAGAGCTTCTGCAAACTGGCCTGCTAGGTATGCCACTCTGTAACACAATGTATGTACAACTGAGTTGCACTGTTTCAATAACTCTATGGAGGTATGGGTCAGTAGTTACCCTACTGCAGAATATCTGATAAATACCCACGTGAATACTCAAAGTGATTGTGAGATGCTCCAGGGAAAACAAAATAGGCCCCTCCAAGTTACTTGATGTTTCATAGTCTCTGAAACTGAGGTGTGTCAATTATTTTGACAAGAAGTGGGTGTAACTCTAAAAGCCCATGGATAGGATCATAAAAGACCTGGAAAAAAACAAAAATAAGACGCATGTAGCTGAGTTATTTCATAAACACTATGATAGCCAAAATAGTAGAAATTCAATATTCCGAATATTGATTTTGTGGTCTTAAGATGTGTGATCATAAGTTGTGGGAAAACCCCCACAAGATAAAAAATAAAAAATACTTTAAAAATCTAATTTTTTGTGTTTGAAAAAACATTTCAGTTAAAAATACAAAATAAATTTAAAAGAAGTTAAAACTAGGTGAAATGACTGATTGATTTTAAACTTGGAAAACTAAAGAAAATAAAAATAAAAATATATAGAGGAAACAGAAATTCTAAATTAAAGAAAAAGAAAAGCCAATTAGAAAATACCAAACTATAAGAGATCTGATCATTACCTTTCCTGGTACTTTGGCCTGCCAGAGCTTCCTGAAGTGTTCTGAGATTTCTTTACAGTGTTTTTCACTAGATAAAATGAGAAAAACAGAATATTGCAATGGGTACTGAGTTTAAGAGCAAGGAGTAAGGTGAAATATTGAATGAAATATTTTGTTCAGAAGGGGAGTCACTCACTCTATGCCACTCTCTCCAGTTAACCGATGCACATCCTTAGCGGTGATATTTTTAGCTGGAAAACAAAGACATATGCCCACAGTATAGCAAGGAAGTAGCCTTGATATTGTTGCAAATGCTCCCACACAGAACAGTGGTTAAAACATCACAGAGATTAAAATAATCAACAGAGATTAAAACCAACAAATCCTTTAGCAAACTGTAAAACTAACCTTTAAATCTATCTTCACAGCATTGGTGACCAATTTTTATCAGTTTGTCACATGTTTCCTCCACTCCCCAAAATCTGATATTTGACATGACCTGGAAATACAGTCTATAGTGTTAATCTTGTAGATGGAAGGTAGAAATTTCAGGATATTCCTGTGATATCATTGAAGAAAAAAAAAAAACATCATTCAATTTTAAAAGTTAAGCTTTGATATATCAGATATTCATTGCACATAAAGAGAACTATTTCCAGAATTTTTTTTGTTTTAATTTTGAATATTACGGCTTATGACTTATGAAAGTCAGAAACCTTTGATTTCAAATTACACTATATTGCCAAAACCCATCTAAATAATTGTATTCAGGTATTGCAATCATTTCAAAAAAATCAAGTACCTAGACAGGCAGACTGCTTCTACAAACATCTGTGTATCTGTCACTCCCAAGAGCTCAGTGAATTGCACTGGTACCATGATAGGATACCACTCTATTCAAGAAATTTTCTTGCTGCTAAATATTCCACAGTCAAAACAAGTTAAAACAAAGTGAAATATTTTTAGTTGCATATTTAGTTGCTGCAGACCTTCATCTGTCATGTGACCTTCAGATTAGCTCAAGAACAGTGCATTAAGAATTCATAGGGATTGAATACAACACAAGAGGCCAACTTCAAGTGAGCTGCACAAGTCGCCATCAAGTGCAGATTTTACCAAGGAGATGCTTTTTTCCTTTCCCCACTGCCATTCTGCATATGCCTGAACCCCCTCAGTGAGCTCATCAACCAGACTGGCTGTGAATTCCAACTACAGAATAGCACAATCCTTAGCCACCTCCTCTAGATGGATGACATCAAGCTGTATGTCAGTAGTCAGATGGTAACAAAGAGAAGGAAGGCAGTCAGAACTGAGATTGTGCTACATTGCAGACATTGAGGATAGCTTTCTAGGAATCCCATAAGCAAGTAAGAACCATGAGGCCAGTAAAAAGCTGTAACTACCAAATACCTGTATTGGTTCAGGCATTCAATACCTATGCCCTGCAATCTTAAGATACCCTGATGATCAACTGGCCAAAGGAGGGGATAGAATCCACTGACATTAAGCCAAGAAAGGTTTTAGCCCAAATCCAACACCTTGAGACTACATTAAGTGAAAGAAAGGACTAAGGAGTGTCAGAACCACTATCCGGATGAAAGAAAAAGATCTATGAGTATATCAAAATCAGAAATAATAGAAAACGAAACAACTGTGAAAATGACAGAAACCAAAACATTTAAAACATTCCACTAAGGTTGTCCCAGTCTGTGTTATTTTTGGGTTTGATGAATATTTATTCATTTCATTTGTCTTCTGGAATGCTTATGATGGTTTGGTGTGATCTGCTCCTGGTCCCTCGCTTCCCTGTGTACGAGTTGGAGTGAGTGTGTGTGTGTGTGCCGTGGTATGTTGGTTTTGCTGCCACACCAGGCCTGGAGCATCTCCCGCCTTTGAGCCAGCCACACCTGGGATTAATCACTCACCTGTTGCCGATGTGCCTAATCAAGGGGCCCTACTTAAGAGAGCAATGGAGCAGCAGTTGGTGTGGGATTGTCACACTAAGAATACGCTGATAAAAGCTATTTTGGAGAGAGGTCTATATAATCTATGGAAATCATATAAATTTTACTCTATTATTGCACTCAGCCAAGGAATTATAAAGTAATGGGTTAATTATACCCTTTTCTTAAGAGTAACAACATTACATTAAAAAATGCAGTAAAATATACCCCCAAACCGTGAGTCTTATGTTCCCAATTGCGCATGCGCCAGACCGCGCTATTTGACTGAGCGGGACAGCAAGCAAATTCTGGGTCCTTTCTTCAGCTTCCATCGAACCCGATCAAACCACAGAAGTGACGGTAAGCTATTTACACAGGGTGAATAATATATAATAGTGCGTGCAAATGGTAATTTTTGAAGTGATGAGCTATTACACTTCACTTGTATTGCTTGTGTCTGTGTAATGCACCATTACTTGAAATGAAACTTGAAATCTGTTGCTGTCTATTAACAGTCTAGACAACTGCCGGTAAGTTGCAATGAAATGTGTTCATGGTGCGCTTTTTATCAGTCAGCATGCATAACCAGTCCTGGACTGGTAATCGGAACACTGAGGTTGTGTCCAACTTCATGCGCTGGATCCTCCTGAGGACCCGGCCTTTTTCGGGCTATGGGTCCTCAGAGAGTCGGGTAGGCCGACCTACGTTTAACCTGAGTAGCGAAAGACTGTGGTGATCTGAAAATGATGTGCCGGGAGTTGTGACGTTCTCGGCGGCTCTAGTGACCAAGCTCTCAGTTAGCTATCGAGCTGGTAGGTAACAGACGTCTCCGAAAACGTTGAAGCACTTTTGCAAATATGCAATATCTTGATAAACCAAGCAGATATTTGAAGTTTACACACCCACATTCTCGCCTGAAAATATGTTAAAAGTTTATTTTGTGATTCAGAAAGATTAATGAGAGTAATTTTAAAACTTGGTAGCCATTGTTGGAAACTATGAATTCTGGGATATGGTGGGCCATGAAGGACACACCCGACCCTTCTTTCAAATTCGGGGAAAAGGAGGATGCTGTCTGTCGCTACCCGATCCGTACTGGAAACCCAATCTGTACCCCACATGCGCAAATCTTACGTCACTTCCTCACTTAAGTTTTTTTAATGAAATTATTCATGACATATGAGTGGACAGACAATGGAGGTCGACAGACCTGGTGATAATTGTTTCTATAGAAAGTTAGCACATGGCAGTGTCAATCTCTTGCTTTTCTTCTGAGTAGTATTTTATGTAGTTGTAATTCAATCAATAATTTGCTTCTTGAAGTTAATTAATGAATTTCTTGTTTAACTTTCTAAATTTCAGATCCTGGCCTTTACCTGCTCCCTCCTATACTGATGTGGTGTATGTGGTACTGCTGAGCTTGTATGTCGTATGTGAACTGCTATACTTTTCAAAAGAAAACTGTTTTATAAGTTAAGTTTTCTTTACTGATCCATCCCATGTCCCTGTTATTTCTTCTCCAGATCTGAACCAGTGTAAAGGTTGCAGTTCAAAGACCTGAGGTATGAAATTCTCTTCAGATCAGCTGTGATCAATATTTTTTGGATCTTGATAAATAACAATAAAAGCTGTAATGGCTTCATTAGCATTTTGTGTAAATGTTTGTGTGAAATTATAGCTTTGATGAAGTCTTTCTATATTATTTTTAGTTCTAAAGTATATATATGTGTACATATAGTATGTATATTTACAGTACAGTATGTTGTGTTTGTTGATGTTTTCAGGTGGAAGCAGAATTTGTGAGGATTACTACTGCTCCACTTCTTCCAAGGCTTTTTGCACAACTTGACCAATACACTGATCAGCTCATAAAAGTCTTCAAGAAAAAAGGAGGCGCTGCAGTGAAGAAATTAGACAAACTTTGGCCCCAGCCACAAAGGTGCGTTATTCTGTTGGTAGCAAAATATTATGGCGTTATAACATCTCGTTCAAATTTAAACAGCTAGTGTATGGTAGATGCACAGTGTTCATTGTACTTACATTTATATTAAGCAAGACAAAGTTTGGTACTCAAAACTTTGGAAAATTAAAATGACCTAATCATAAGTAAAATTGTATCCCTCAATTACGGGTTAAACCATAACTGAATGTTTTTATGTTAAAGATCAGTTTTTGAATGCAAAAAAAAGTGGGTTTTTTTCCTCTTTACCTTTGTTATAGACATATATAATGTGGTGGAAACCCTGCCCAACAGGTTAACTATTCGTGTCCATGTGATGATTAGTTGGTCTATCTCTGCAGTAAATATGTCATTTATTTTGCATATAATGTGAGTTTGTGTCATCCTAAAGTATTTCTGTTTTCTCTTCCTGTATCTCTGCCACTCTCTACAAAAGGAAACTATTGAAAAGGGGAGGGAGTGTGTCATAGTGCACTACCTCTTTACCTGAATGAAGACCCAAGCATCCTCTTCAAAGAATACCTGGTTGGTACTTTGAGCGTAGTTTTTATCTGTATTAAACCAAATCTTGATTAACTAATGTTGTCACGTGTTGTAATGTTGTTGTTATTATTATAATTTGCATGTAACCTGCTAAAATGTTTTTGGGAATCTAATATGAATGTGATTAAAACCCCTAAACTTCTGAGCAAGCACCGAGTATGCTGCCATGGGAATGTGAAATTCTCAGAGAAACCCCCAGATTCCCCCACTGACTATGGCAATGGGCAAACCTCCACCCGCCCCATTCCTGCTAAATAGGTGAAAATAGATTTAAGAGCGACAGGACTTAGTCCAGCTGAGTCTTTGATTTTATATATTTTCTGCTGTGTTTTACTTACATCTATTTGAAAGAGTTGAGGGTAAATACAAAAAATTATTTTATTTTATTTTATATGCTGAAATATGCAGAAAATGGGTTTAAATGTTAAACTAATTTCTTCAAGTCAAAGTCTGTTGCATATAATTTAATTTTTGCTTGATGCATAAAGTTAAACAATTAAAACTAATAAAATAATTGTTAGAAAGAGACTTTTACATTTGATGACATTTTAAATGATGGATTATGCAGGAAAAATTTGAATTTCTATTGTTTTATTACCTATTCAGTAACTAATAGGTAATGGGTGGACAGTTAAGGCCTTTACACACCAATCACTTTTATACTGAAAAAAATCTAGTGATGATAAGTTGGTCACAATGGGTTTTTTTTTTTTTTATTAGGAAAAGGAAGAAACTGAGAGCATGGTTTGATTCAGGAGTTGAAGTTGTATCAGGGTGTTAGTTGGGCACTTTGAGCTCTTGTTGCCAAAACTGGGACAACATTTAATGAGCCGAATGACCTGAAGCAGCATCTAGCTGTGTAATACCCCCAAACCGTGAGTCAACAAAATATTGTTAGTTTACTATTTACATATCTTTGAATTTTAAGTACCACTGCATGTTTTGAGCTACAAACAAACGTGTTGCCAAATGCAGTGGTCTGATTGGTCAGATCTGAAAATGACTAAACTTTCAGCACCAAAGTGCATTTGGTGTCCAAAAAAATATCCATTCACACAAATATTTTGTGTCCTTTGTACAGAGGTCCAAAGTGGTTTTAACATTAGGAAGAAGTTACAAATATTTCTGGACCCCTTTTCTTGGAAAATGGAGCAAGTACTTAGACATAAAACTCAAGTACAAATGCACATTTCAATATATGGAGTGTTGGTGAAAATTAACTGTCACTAATCTGATTGAAGTATAATTAAAAGGTTTAAGCAAACTCATCTTGAACAAAAAAAAAAAAACTATACACAATGTAGAAATATGAAAGCAACTAGAAAATAAAATAAAATAAAATCTTATATGAGTCCCCAACCCACCCCCAACTTCATAATATCATGATCTATGTTACTGTGTAAGTGTGTGTTAATTACCTTGGCCATGCCGATGAACTTCAGTCTGCACAAAAAGGATGTCTCTGTTGCTGATGTCAGGTTCTGACCGCTATGTACATCAAGCTCTCCTTATATTAACATGTATTTGGTATTTATGCTCCTCCCCTCTGTTTTCTGGCTTTCTATTTGTGTATGTGTATCTATGGGTGTGGTGCTCACATCACTGACTCCTTACCTGTGCATACAGTGAGATCTATTTTCAGAAACAGAATATTTCTTTCATAATTGTATATTTAATGTCTGGGCAACAAATCCTTTCTTTGACTGTTATGTTGGCAGGGTTTAGTTAACAACCGGTGGTGTAACCCTGCCAACATAACAATCAAAGAAAGGATTTGTTGCCCGGACATTGAACTGTGTGCTGTTGGACTCAGGCCGTATTATTTACCCAGGGAATTCTCTCACGTCATCTTGGTGGTTGTTTATGTTCCTCCCTCTGCTAACCCCACAGCTGCATGTGACACTATCCACTCTGCCATAGCCGTTACAGACTCAGCACCCGAGTGCCTTTATTGTGATCTCGGGTGACTTCAACCATGTATCACTGGACAATACACTACCAACATTTAGACAATATGTGGACTGTCCAACCAGGGGAGAAAAAATTCTAGACTCAGGCTGTGTCCCAAATCAGGGTCTGCACGCTTGAAGTACGCATTTTAAGTGCGATTACGTCACCGCCACGCGATGACGGCTGTCCCAATTCAAAGTGCACTTCAAATGCGTACTCCGAATGCGCTGTCGATTTCCCCAAATATCAAGCGTGGTCTGGTGCACGCTTCGTGGTCCCATATATCCCACAATTCATAGCGCGACGCAGCCAGGCCAGTGCGTAATGATGTCAGCAGAGGTTGAAATGGCGGCAGAAGACAGCAACACCCGCAAATGTAAGATATGTGTGAAGGAGCGAAACAAATGCCATGATGTAAAAGTTAATGGAAGGTTAATAGTAAATGTCAAGGAGAATCATGTGACACCTGTCCGACCCACGTAACCGTAAATGCAAAGACCCGCAAAGCTGTGATTCCTGTACCAGACCGAGGGCAGTATGAATAGAAGTATCACCACTACAAGTGCAATCAACTGTACTAATATGACCCTGCCTGTGCCGCAAACAGAAATGTCAACATATACCAGGCAGGAATGTAGCTGTGTCCGCAGCACATTATATATAAAATGTAAATGTAATATATACATACATTTGTTACAGTTATAACACCTGCCATGTCAAATATTTCAAAGGGGATATTTCAAAGCGCCCTGAGGCGACTTTTGTTGTGATGCTGCCCTATCTAAATAAAACTGAATTGAATTGAATTAAAACAAAACATATGACAGAGAACCCCCGACCCCAACCTAGGGCCTGATAAAGTAAATGTTCTGCCCCAGTCAGTGCTGCCCCTGTCCCGCAATAAACAGTTTTGCCTGACATTGCAGTGTGTATGTTCCACACAGCTGTATATGCTGAACTGACGGCAAACGGAGAAATGCTAAAACAGAAGTGCAGGATGGTGGGGAATGTAATCCAATGTCACGCTCCATTACAGGGACCAAGGAGCAGACGGCAGACCTCATTCGACTCCGCCGTGACAATGAGCACCTGTTCACGGGTGCAAAACACTCAGCCGCAGTGGGTTGGAGGTACAGCAACAGTATGATGTATTGAGGCACAAGGGACAGTGAACTGTCTGCCCTGTGGTCCCAAGCCAGTACATCCTGCTGTGGATGCCATAAACGGAATGACCTGATATACATGTGCTCTCATATTTTGTCTGTCAGAGAAATCGTGGAGAAGATGGACCTGGCGGGGAAAATCTCCCCTGTGCAGGCCAAGCGCAAACAGGAGAACCTGAAGAGGAAATACAAAGTATGTACACTGGTAGTGACAGATGTAACTACACACAAAACACTGAAAAGTCACCTATGTAAACCTGCACTGTTGCTGTTGTTGCCAACTGCCACCTGTGATGTATCCTCCCCTCAGGAGTGCAAGTATCCAGCGACGGGTGAGGGTGCAAGTGGGAAGCCCACTGCCGCAACATGGCCCTGGTTTGATGCCATGGATGAGGTGCTAGGACAGAGGCCCTCCACCAGGCCACCTGTCCTAAACTCCTCCATCCAGGAGGACGCACCAGGGCCCAGTGCAGCAGTGGGCAACCCACTCCCACACCAGGAGGGGCAGGAGGATGAGGAGCCACCTGAGGCATGGGTGGCGAAAAGGAGGAGGGACGGGGAGGATGAGCTCATTGCCCTAATAAAGGAGGACATGGCCCAGCAACGCCAAATGGAGGAACGGAGAGCCTAGAGGATGGACAGGCTGATAGGTGTCCTCAAAAAGCTAGTGGAGCAGAAAAAGGACTGAGTTGTGTCCACAGACAGCCACTGTACATAGTTGAACTTTATTTATGCTGGGACCCCAACCTTTGTTCTGTACAAACATGATTATTTCAGTGACCAGATTTCCGTAAATACGACGCAATGTACATAGTTGAACTTTATTTATGTTGTTGTTCCAACCTTTGTTCTGCACACACAAGATGATTTCAGTTATGTAAATAAAGACAGTAGGAACATCCCAACTGTGAGTGCATGTCTGTCACAAACTACATGACACAATTTCGGGGGGCCTGACCTATTGCACATGCCAAATTGTGAAAATGAAAGCAGTGCAACGTATAACACAACATGATTGTGGGAAATGCATTGCCCACTGCGGTCCAGGATAAACCTGAGTGTCCCAGCATGCACACACATCATCAACCAGGCCTGACATGTGCCTGAGCAGGGAGTCTTGGGCAGTGCTGCTTGGTCCGCTGGACCAGGACCACAGAGATGAGGGAGGTGCCACAGATAAGACCCTCGGTTCATAGCCAGGTACTGAGTGGAGCATCCCACATAGGCGTCCCCAGATGTTGCTCAGGCATGCTCATCCCCACTGTCCACCGCAACATCCTCCACTTGGGTCTGCAGGGCAATAGAGCTGCCATGTCACTAGATTGTAATCATGGCGGTGGGAATACGACATGGTAACAACAAGCATGTTAAGACAGATCTGTCACGTGAAATCCCAGCACTGTGCAGATGCACCACTAAGGGATACTTGCCTGCTGACAATAATCATGGTCCGGGGGTACCTCCTCCAGGGCAGACACCTCAGCAGATAGCTGGTCCCGCCAGTGTGCACCACTGACTGCCTCCACACCAGTCTCCCCCTCATCTTGGCCATCATCCTCGGGTTCCTCATCTGGGGCCACAATGTCACCAGCACCGATGCAGATGTTGTGCAGCACGGCACATGCTGTTATGACCTGCGACAGATGTTTAATCTTGTAAGTACAGTGTACATGCCAGAGTATGCACTACAGTTGCCATTATGATTGGACATACAACAATTATGCTCGTATTAGCATGACATACATGTGGCACAAAGGTGTGGTGCACCTCCAGCGCTTGCAGGAAGATGACACGGAACCTTGTCTTCATCATTCCAAAGGCACGCTCTATGACAGAGCGTGCCCTGGAGTGATGTGCATTAAAGCGCTGGGCTCCCACACCGTGGACTGGCCTCTTGTAGGGGGTGATGAGGGAGAGTGGATGTTGGAGACATGAGTACCCTCCATCTGCAAGGATAAAATGCCCTGGGGGAGGGTAACGGGCCTGTCGGTACAGTGGGCTGTGGCTGAGGACCCTGGAGTCATGCACTGGCCCCAGCCAGCCCACATGTGTATCGACAAAGCGGCCCTGATGGTCACATGCCGCCTGCAGGATTATGGACGGGAACAACTTCCTGTTCCTGTAGCACTGACCGTCAGGGCCGCTGGGGG